ATCTTTCTGAAAATCAATTCGGCTTCAGACAACAGCGGTCTACCATTGACGCAATTTTGCGGGTTCGTATGTTGACGGAGCAGGCGGTGCTTGACGGTGGGATGGCGTTAGCAATAAGTCTTGACATTGTTAATGCTTTTAATTCGTTGCCCTGGCAGGCAATCAGAAGCGCTCTTGTATACCATCGTTTTCCTATCTACTTACAAAGGATAATTGGGGCTTATCTTTGTGATAGGCGAATCCGTTATGTGGGACGAGATGGGAAAGTTTACTATAGAGAAGTGAATTGTGGCGTGCCACAAGGATCTGTACTTGGACCTCTCTTATGGAACTTGGCATACGATGCGGTATTGCGTGTAGGTCTTCCTACAGGCGTTAGTGTGGTATGTTATGCGGATGACACGTTATTATTGGCAACTGGAAATACATATGAGAGTACTGTTCAACTGGCGGAATTGGGAGTGGCTATCGTAGTGTCTGCTATTTTTGACTTAGGTCTAGAAATCGCACCTCATAAGACAGAAGCTCTGTGGTTTCATAAACTGCCGCGAGGTCGAGAAGCTCCCAGTTTTTCTGTTCGTATTAATAATACACAGGTTCAGGTTGGTCAATACATGAAATACCTTGGCTTAAACTTAGACAGTCGCTGGGATTTGAAGAGCACTTCAACCGCCTTGTTCCCCTTGATAGAGTGGTGGGTGCATTGCACGGCTTACTGCCTAATCTAGGAGGACCTCGAGAGGAAGTCCGTCGATTATATGCAGGCGTTGTGCGGTCAATAGCCTTATACGGAGCGCCAGTGTGGTCACACCGACTGTCGAGAGTACGTCGTTGTAGACTTAAATTTAATAGCCTTCAACGTAAAGTAGCTATTAGAATTGTTCGAGGATATAGGACCATTTCTTTTGAGGCAGCTACACTCCTTGCACGTTTTCCACCTCTAGACATTTTGGCAGAAATGGATGCAAAAGTTTACCATCAAATTCGCGAGATACGTCATAATGGAGACAATTTTCCTCCGAGAGCTTTTGAACTACTGAGGCGACAAGAACGGAATAGCGCTCTGCAAAAATGGCGTGAGCGGTTGGAGGTTCAATTTGGTCATAAACGAGTGGTTGAAGCTATCTTACCAAACTTTGAAGCATGGTTCAGGAGGAGTGACCGCATAACCTATCGGCTTACTCAGATTCTTACCGGCCACGGGTGCTTTGGTGAGTATCTGAATAGAATAGGTCGTGAAGCCACACCTAGATGTCATCATTGTGGAGATGATCGAGACACCGCTCAACACACGCTTCAGGATTGTCCTGAATGGCTTGGCGAGCGACGTGTTTTGGTTGAAATAATCGGCCACAACCTTTGCTTGCCGACTGTAATCTCAGCTATGTTAGCAGATCCAACAGCTTGGCAAGCAGTAGTCACCTTCTGTGAAACTGTTATGTTTCAGAAGGAAACTGCAGAGAGAGATCGAGAGAGGATAGACCCAACTCGGAGACAAAGGCGGCGCGGTAGGAATCGCCGTTGAATTTAACTCCGAAACGATAGGAGGTAGTAACATAATTTGAGTGTCGCAGGTGAGTTCGTTCATTCGAGTACCCAGTGACTCTCTCATTGTTTTCTGGGATTGACTGTGTGGTTTTAGTCGGTAAGAGTCCGACATAACCTGCTGTCTGACGCTCTTTGTCTAGACAAAGGGTATCCATGAGGATTTCCACACGTTTAAAAAAAAAAAAAAAAAAAAAAAAAAAAAAAAAAAAAAAAGGTAGGTATGTGTGCGGGCTTCGACGAGCTTGGTCCTTTGTGAGAGCAAGTGGACTGTATAATGAAACTGGATAAACTTGTACACTGATACACGTTTATTACTATAATAATGTTAACAGCACTAGTGGAAAGGAAATTGACAAAATTACACACACTGTTCTGACGCTCTTATCAATTGACAATTCATTGACAACTGATGCGCCTCGCCGGGTACAGCCTTTTATATGCGAGGCGCGCGGACAGGATAATTTCTGTTGATCGGGGCTCGCGACTCGGCCGCTCTGCGACGTTGAGTCATGTTTGTACATGCTCAAAGGCAAGTTCAAACCAAGCAGCGGCGGCGCGGAACAAAGGATCGCCGCCTTTGATGTTCGTGTCTGAACTTGCCTTTTCGTCATGGTTCGGACACGTTCGGAACACGTCGCGGGCGGCTCGCGACCTAGTATTGCCGTCGTGCACAGAATGTATTTTTTATTTATTTATTTACACTTCTGTATATGATGGCGAACTTAATGCCGGGTGGCATTCTCTAACAGTCAACCATGGGGTGATGCAGACGTGCAACAGTAGGTGTGATAGGTATTATGATTTAATTTTGTATATGATATAATTTATCAAGTATTCCTTATTGTAATGAGTGGCTTAGACAAAAGTGTACTTAAATCCCTATAATCACTGACTTATTAAAAGGAAACATGCCAAAAAGTATAAATTTAAAATACCGGTAAAGTCCAAGTTTGGTAAAGTCCAAGTCCGAGTTCGGGGAGAAAACTTTAGAAAAAACTAAATACCAATCTGAACGGATTTTGAAGTTTGTTATGAAGTTGAGTTTGACTCCTGAAAAAGCAAGGCTTTACCTCGGCAGATATTCTTATTCCCACGGAAAAATATAAAATGCGCGATATAACCGAATTGCACGCGAGCGGAAAGCTATTATTTTTTAACTAAAGGTAGTTGTAGTAGAAGGAGTTGAACGGAAGTCGCGGGTAAAAGCTAGTTTATCTTATAATGGCAAAATGTATACAGATCTTGGTACTAATATCTAAGTACAATGTAGGCATCTACTGTCATGATAAACCTATCCTGTTCATGTAATTCACCAATCCTCTCAACTCGAAGTCATGAGATAAATACATATTACAAGCTATGTTTTAATGTGAATCTGTGTAAAGAAAATATCGTGCGTCGACACCTACTATTTTACATTTAGCAGTAAATTCCATAGCTGAATAACTTACATGAGTTTTTCGGCAGGCGCTTCTATAAAAATAGCAGCCGTGAGAAGGTCATTGATACCAGTGCGTGGCCTTTGAGGAAATTGGCCTCCAATGACCTCACTCAAATTCAAAGTCAAAGTCACTTCGGTCGAATCGGCTCATTTCTACCGAGTCATGGCTCTCCTACGGGTATCTAGTAGCAGAGTGGACTATGATGTCATTTATCCATCAATATCTTACGTAGGCATATATTGTACATAACTTTAGAAGTGCCTTTGAAGTTATCGAAACTAACAAATAATTTTATGTTAGTGGCGGAACTACAGAGTGGTGAGTGGGCAAAATGCCACGGGCCCCCAGCTGGAAAGGTCTCCGTTCAGAGATTTTCATATGAAGTTCTCTGTTCTTTATTGGGAACAGGGGTCCATTCGATGAATTTAACTTCTAAAGGAGGACTAACCTTCTAAAGGAGGACTAACCTTCTAAAGGAGGCACCGCTGACGCGTACGCTCCGCTCGCTCAACCTCATAGCGAGTGAGACGGACTTATTCTATTGTTCTCTGAGTGAATTCACAAGGAATACTTTGTTTGTAATTAGTTATAAGTAATAAGTTAGGATTAAATAGTTCGCATTAATCGCATTGGGTCATCCTGTAATGGTAAAATTAAGTAAGTAAGTAAGTAAATAAATAAATAAATAAACATTTGTCACGGACCCCAAACGGTATAGTTAAGCCACTGGTTGGTACCTACTTAGGTACAGTCAGATTTAACGTCGCTAGTGGGGATGGATAGGCTATAGCTCCGAAGGGGTCGCGACATATTTCCAAGCAAGCCGTGGATTGGAATCCCCAGGGAAAAAGGAATCGTGGCCGTCCTCGGTAACCTGGCGTCGTACTGTGATAGCAGAAGCGAGCATCGGAATGACGCGGAGTTAGGTAAAGCGGGAAGGCCAAGAACGATTGAGATGGAGGACCTTTGTGGATGCTCTCTGCCCGATCTAGGGAACATAGGACTATAAGTCAAGTCACTTAGGTACATTAGGTATGTAGGTATACGTACTAGCTTCATGTCTTGTGTTATAAAATTCTGCTTATTTGGTACTTCACGGTCAAAAGTGGCTTTCTGGTCTAGTTGAAATAAATAATTTTGATTTTGACTTTGACTTTGACACTTCTCCCGTAACTATTATCTAAATGTTGTCGCGGAGAACCTAACGGGTAACCGGGGCTCCGACTCGACGTGCAGGAGAAGGAACGGGGTGGTTTTTAGTCAGTAAGAGTCTGACACTCCCTTCCGCCTCACCCAGGCGGGAGTAGTAATTCGATGATTTTCCCCCCTTAAAAAAAATTATCTAAATGTTCCTTATTTTATTTTCTTCTTTTAACCTTTCTTCAACAACAATTTGGTTTTCATTGAGCTTTAATCTCAAGTTTAGTCGTCTCATAAGTAAAGATTAAATGTTAATGTTTATTTATAGGTATGTAATGTATGTATGTAGGTATATTTGGTGTACACCAAATAAAATGTAAAAAAAATCAGACATCAATCTGAAAACATTTTATTTTATTTGAAATACTGTTGAAAACAATACTGAAATAAGTAAGTAAGTAACACATATTAAACTTAATTAGGTAGTTACATTCATTGAATTAATATAATAGGACTTATGTAGGTATTATGTTAGTTAGACATTTATTATTTTAAACCAGGCATCCTTTTTCGACGAACTCGTCTATTTGCTAAAACGAACTTAAGTATACCTATTCTTTCGGTACATACAAATTATTTGCAACAGATAATAAATAAAATAAATTAACTACACTTCTATCATCATCAGATGATGATCATCAACAGCCTATAAGTGGCCACTACAGACTAAAAGCCTCTTCTCACACGAAGAATGTAGATTAGGCAGTTACTAAAAAATTAACACTTACTATTGTTTGGCGCCAATCACCCAATACTGAATACGAAAAAACTGCAACGTGTAAAAAAGGCCTTAATAAAAGAGTAACACCTCTATCTCCTCTTCTCTTCTTTCTTTCCTCTACTCTCCAGTTGCACAGTAAACCTGTCTGCATCCTTCATCATGACGTCAAAAGTTATCCTAATAGGCTTCTGTTCTGTGCTAGATCCGTTCTTTATCGTACTGGGATTTGACACTCGGTACTTTCGTACAATAGTGGCTACTGATGTCTTCATTGACATCATTGCGTATTGGTACCCTGGAATAAGATTGAAATTGCAATTTAAAATCATTTGAGTATGCAAAAATTTGATGTGGGCCCTCGTTTAAAAAAATTATCAGAATCAGCAGGAGTTGGAAGTTTTTGCATTGGACTGTATATCGCTACGTGCCCCAAGTAAGTATTATCAATAAAATTATCATTCTGTGTGGGAGTGCCATGCTTCGGCACGCATGGGCCGGCTCGAGCGGAGTGATACCACGGCCTCACAGAAAACCGACGTGAAACAACGCTTGCGTTGTGCTTCGTCGTGTGAGTGAGGTTACCGGAGGCCAAAATAACTCCCCCTCCAAAATCTCCCTAACCCCACAATCCCCAATTATCCTCAAATTTCTAATCCCCAAAAGTCCGGTAACGCACATGTAACACCTCTAGTGTATTGGGTGTCCATGGGCGGCGCCGATTGCTTACCATCAAATGATCCATCTGCTCGTTTACCGGCTTATTCCATAAAAAATATAATTACTGTAATATTGACTTCGCTCATATTAAACAGAGTTTAGTAAAGTACCTACCTATCGTTGTCCATCATAATCAGTACTACGTTATAATTCAGGCTCAACAAACATATTGACTAACCCAAACAATTCCTTGGTCCATGACTAAAAGCCATGAATGCAGCGGGATGCTGGAGTGGCGTGTCAAGGAACCGTTCAGGTCGGAACTGCTCTGCGTCGTCTCCCCAGTAGCGAGGGTTGCGCTGCGTGCCCCAGATATGCACCAGAACTCCACAACCTTTCACCAACGTGATTCCTGATGCTGTAGAAGTAATGGTAAAAAGGAATAGTAGAAAAGAAGATTGGTGTTCTCATAACAACATAAAAAATAGAATTACGTACGAAGTTCTAGATCCTTCTCAATTTTTCTGACAACGACGGGTACTGGTGGGTATAGACGCAGTGTCTCCCTGACGACTGCGTCGAGGTACTTCAGTTGGAGCAAGTCTTCTGCAGTCACCGGCCTGTCAGAGTCACCGAACACTTCTACCAACCTGTTGTATTTAAAATGTGTCATTATAATTTTTATTCGCTAAAGAGTCACATACTTACCTACTATGCCATGCATACTTTTCATCAACTACCTAGTTATGTCATTCTTATTAGAAAAGAGATGAGATAGAAGATATCAATAATAGGGCGCGGGTCTATTGCCATAATAATAACCCTTCCACGCAAGTTTAAGCTACGGCGACCGTTTCTAGACTATAGACCTTTGTTTATAAATATTCTTCCATAATGTTCTATTGCCACACTGAGCCATACAATAGACTCTGTGATACCCCCACTGAGAATTTTATTTAAATTAATTTTTTTAGAAGTCATTATTTTGTCTGCATTGTATATCCAATGCGAGATCTCGGCCCACGACTAACGAGGAAGTTTTACTAGAAAATTACGTTAATAAATATTATAATTACATACCTTGTGTTTCTTATACTCTGGTCAAAGTACGCTGACATAGGTACCTATCTAAGTACCTACGGCTGGCCGTAGCCAATTAATACACGTTCTCTCATAGCGTATGTACAAAGAAGTAGTGGCTCAGCGCTACCTATCTTACACTTTGCCCTTTTAATTTTCTTTTGTATGGCAATTATTTAATTTTTTCCTTGCCCACTGAAAATCAGTGCTGGGTGACTAGTGTGCTTAGCTTACACTGAGTGGGTGACCCATTTATCATAGGTATGTTGGTACTTGTTAGCGCCTCTTTTCTGGGTGTTATTTTTTTTACCCACTGTTTATTTTACTTTCACTACCACACTGTATTATTGTCTTTTTATTTTATATATTTTATTTATGCTGCATATTTGCGTTTGCGTGCCTGGTGCTGTATATTTTTTTCTTTCTTGCTGATATAGGTAACCAACGACATAATTGTTTAGACATATGTTTCTTAAACCTTTATAAAAATGCAAATAAGATCACGTTGGTATTATATAACTCTGATTAATTAATATACTCACGGTCCTACCTACAGTCAGTTTAATTTCTTGGTACTTATACCGTTTATTCAGTACAGAGGAGACATAATAACTAATAGTTGACTGATACCGAGAAAGTAACACCCGCTTATACCTGTTATAAGTCACATTAAACAGGGGTGAGTCATTAGTAAAACTCTGTCAATAATCTCACCTTCTATAAAATTCTTTCTGAAATGATACAAAATTAACCAATTCAAATTACGAGTATCGTAATCTTTTTTTAAACGTTGCCCCACACTTGGTTTTTCTCCTGTGTCGTGGGTGCGTTTACAAACATACAAGTTCACATACACATGACACCCAGACCCGGAACAACAATTTGTGTATCACACAAAGCGTACCGCACCAACTGTGCTATTATCTACCTTGAGTAAGCGTGGTGTTTAATGCTCATTCCTTATCCAGGTAAGAAGAGACTCTCATCACAGGTCGATGATAAACTTATGAATAAAATTATTTTAAGAAACTCACTCTTTATAAACTTGTTCCTGTACAGCAGGATACCGTGCCAACATAGACACGGTGAAGGATGCCCCCACGGCCGACGTGTCAGTACCAGCCACAGCCAGCACCAACGTCTCCTCTTGCAGCTCCTGGTCAGAGTACCCTCGTTCACCTCCAGATCCCTCTATTAAAAGTTCTAAGAATGTCTTAGAATCATTGGAATCTGGAAATAAGTCAATTTGAAGAAAATTACTTTACGTCTTTAATTACTAGAGTATAGTCTGTAATCTCTACAATGGTGTGTTTAAACTCTAACTTGAATGACGAATCACTTTACATTCGCCTTACATTATGGGTGCACACCAGTTTCTTCCCGCGTGCGGTTAACCGCTCTACCCGTGCACTGACCATGCAATGTGGTTATAAACCGCGAAAACACCTGATATTTTTAGCCTTAATTCTTTCCACTAAGGTTTTTTCCATCAACATTTTACGATTTCAATTATCTGACTGATAAAATTGAAAGTGCTGCTTATTGTCATTTTCTTGTTTTACAAAGTCACGCGACTTTAGCGTAGTGCGCTCGGGATCTTATTATTTGTAATTTTATGAATAAATCGACTTGGACTTCTTATTAAAACTAGACCCTCCCACATCAACAGGTGCAATTAGTAAAAACTTAATAGATATTATAATGATAGATATTATTATATTCAAGAAGGAATGCCAAGGCTATAATAATATCTATAATATAATAGAATAATAATTATATTGAATGCAATAATGATAGGTATTTATGCACAAGGAAGTGTCAACAAATCACTTACTTTTATTCGCATCATCTTTGTTTTCCTTAATTGCAATTCGCTTCGACTTAATTATCTGAAAAAAAAATTAGGTATCTACAGAAAAATTATACCATTATCATAATTTTGAAATTATTTAAGATACTTGTATCTTGGCCTAGCCTTGGCCTTGGCCTTAAGCATAGAAAGAGGCCAGTTATTCCTATTTGGATAACTGTAACCTATTTCTAGAGCACTAATTCAGAATATAAAGATATAAAGTATAAATATACATATAAAGTATAAAGAAAAGTCTTTATACTATGATTCATAAAGTTGGTTAGCATTAATCTTTTTTTTTAATTGTAGGTATAAGAAAAACGCAGGCACAGAAAAAAAGGCACAGCGTGCTAGGCATACCTAATTTTTAATAAATGTTTACCTTATCAATAAAATCACAGATAACAGTCTTAGACTTCTCAAACGCCTCGTGGTACGGCAGGAGCTTGTACACGGCGTCAGCATAAAGCCAGGGTTGTACCATGCGCTCAGCTATCAGTATGGAGCACTTCTCGAACGCCTTGAGAAACGGCTCGTCTTCCGTCTTTTGGGCGTTTACGTTTACTCCGAGGGCAGTTTCTGAGAGACGAAAATATGAGTCATGGTCCAGTTTCGTAACTATAATAATCTAACTTTTAACTCATAACGCAGCTTCAACGGATTCACTTCAAAATTGGGATATATAGACTAGACATACTAGCTTTTACCCGCGGCTTCGCTCGCGTCACAAAAGGATAAAAAGTAGCCTATGTGACATATACCAATACATACAGCGCCATCTATACCGATACTTTTGTTTTCCCTCGGGAATATCAAATTTTTTCGGGATAAAAGTACCCTATGTAGTATAAGTATTATCTAGACTACTAACTTTACGTCTGCAAAAATTCAATGCAATCGGTTTAGTAGTTACGGCGTGAAGTCGGAACAAACAAACAAACAAACAAACTCACTTTCCAATTTATAATATTAGTAAGGATTTTTGTTACAGGTCAAAATCAATGTAACTTTAAACGAGATCATTACAAAAAGATAATTCAGCGACGTATAAAAAAGTAGTGACAAGCAATATAGAACAAACCACACACAGAATCCATGGTGTAGCTGGTGAGATACTTCCACAAGGAGAAGGGTCCTCTCCCTGCCTCTGTCTGCAGCTGTTTAGCCAAAACGCTGCTCTGCCGGGAGAATATCTTCACGAAGTTGTTCAAGTTCTTCGGGCTGAAGGTCGGAGCGAGGACTTTGCGCCGGGGACGCCAGATGGACACTAAAGATAAGAAAGTAATGTGAAGAAATTGGGTACATTTTCGCTATGCTAAAATGTGCTACAACATTTTGTGGACTTCAAAAAAGTAAGAGGATTGTAATCTTCTCTTTGTCTTTGTCTTTTTTTATCTCTCTGTAGTATTGTCGGTTTTAATCAATCAATCAATCTAGGTATACCTACCTACTACCTAAGTACCTACATACATAATAAACAGATTAACTTTATTTTCTTTTATCTTCTTATTCCTTTCGTCTTTTATTTAGGTATCCTACATAATTCGTAGGTACTTAAAATAAACATGAATGCCCTTCATCAACATCATAATCAGCCTGTCTTCGTCCACTGCTGGACATAGGCCTCTCCAAAGGCTCGCCTCTGAGCTTAGTCTTCAGCTTGTCTCATCCAACCACTGCCAGCCACCTTGCGGATGTCGTCACTCCACCTAGTTAAATGCCCTTACTCCTTCATTTTACTTGTAATTAACTTCTCAGTAACAACTAACCTGGTGCAAATATAGTTCCGTTGCCGATAAGGTTTCTCGCAAACCGCATGACATCATCTTTTTCCAATGAAGACTTAAGGATCACTTCTAAATCCACTGGATCAACCACAACTGCAATAAATTAACTGTGAATCAGATCAAGTCATCTTGTGTTTACGTAGGTAGGTACTGTGTTTATGTTAGTTTATGTACGACATACAATCAAATAGATACCTACTTACCTAATTTATTTTTAAGTTTAATAAACTTTTCTACAACTTGCTAGATCAAATTGTAAATTACAATACTTGACTATGTTTAATAACAGTGACTTACCAGTAAAATAATTGTCTCCTAACCACATATTAGTGAGTCCGCCATTTTTAATAGCTTCCCGACCCAGTCTCTCGAATGTTCGCATGCGACCTGGAAATTAAATAAGTAATAGATAGCTATAATATATAATCAAGAGTTTATTGAGATCTTACATTAAATCTCTTTCTCTGTGTTTCTGGAGCTCCTACGTGCAACCTCCATTTTAAAACCTCGTCGTCGATAAAAAAAATGCAACCAATTAATTGGTACCTAATTGCGATAAGTAATCTTAGTTAATAACTTACTTGTGTAGCTATACCAAATACTCAAACGTCACTCAAACGTCACTCAAGTCGTGCTTACGTCTAGTTCTGTTCTGTCACTACAAATTCTTTGTAAAATGACAGAGAAGGCACGATATTTAAAGTACAACTTAAAATGAAGTAAGTGTCCTTTCAGTATTGGGGCGTTAATCTTCCCTTCATCATCATCATCATCAACAGCCGATAAATGGCCACTGCTGAGCAACGCCTCTTCTCACACGGAGAAGGTTTGGGCATTAATCACCACGCTTGCTCAATGCGGGGTGGCGATTTCAAACTTATAAATTAGAAATTATAAGTCCAGGTTTCCTCACGATGTTTTTCCTTCACCGTTTGTCAGTGGTGTCTAAATAATCTTAGAAAGTACATATTATAACTCGGAAAAAGTCACAGTACTTGCCGTTGGTAGGTTTCGAACCCGCACCCTCATGGATAAGAAGCGGTCTTAAACCTCCGGGCCACCACGACAATCTTCCCTTAATTAAACAAAATCCTAGAGGTTCATTTATTTGCTTAACTAGATACATAAGTAGGTACAAGGATTGCTATTTAGTATATTGAGAAAATAGATTTCTGATTTATAAGAATAAAGACTAATTAGGTACTTACTCTCGCCACCTCCAATGAACAAATACGCATGTCCTAATAATGGGTAAGCTTTGATGTCACATTTTATTTGGCTGGCCACTTGTAGGATACGTCGGTTTTTGAACCATCTGAAGGTAAACCCGAGGGTCACGACTAAGAGGACGAGCCACAACATAGTCGCGTTAGACTTAGCTATAAACTGTGACGTAGAACTCTAGTACTTATCTTATATACTTAGGTCAGTGAGTAATTATAGAACTTGTTTTATAATGACTATTGAGGCTGTATTTTAGAATAAACAAGTAATAGTGTCATGAAGTGGTTGTAAATCTGTCTAACTCTGTACCTAGCTCTTCTAGTAGCTATAGTTTTTTATTGGATAGGGGAAGAACAATCAGCTTCGCTCATGGATTTTTTGTATGCTTGATGTCCTTGTTGATGCATGTTTTCATGCTTGTATCTACTGTAAATCCTGGCTTACAGGAGTTTGCAGGTTTTGGGAGGTTGTGGCGGGCTTGTGACAAAAAAAGGCTTGATGTCCCGACGTTTGGCCATTATCTCGCCTGGTGGTAAGCGACGATGCTGTCTACGATGGAGCACGTCGTCCCATAAGCAACCTATTCACTCGGATCTTGAAGATACCCAGGTTATACTAGAAAAATGATTACAAGTGCTTTCGAGGTATAAGCGTTGTTTCACGCCGGTTTTCCGTTTGGACGTGTTATCACTCCCGTTGCAATGGGTACGTCTCCCATGTGATGAGTTACCATCACTTAGCTGTGTTTCATCATCGTCATTATCACGTGAACATTTCTAAATACTTTACTTTAAAGGTCTCCCTCATAAAGGGTTTCGCCCTTAGTTCATAATCCTTCCTAATATTATAAATCGGAAAGTGAGTTTGTTTGTTTGTTCCACTTTCGCGCCGTAACTACTATGGCCTTCTTTATACTATGGCCGAGTTACCTCCTAGAAAATGACGCGGCTTTAAAACAACACCTTGTATATTTTTAATATATTTTTCATGTGTTTATGTATAGGTATTTATACTTTACATTGATTTACTTTTGACTAAGTTTTTGGTCTTTTTACTGATTATAGCAGAACTATACTACGAAAATACAAAATAAAAGAAGGAGTGCGAGCTCGAGTATGTGCTTGGACTACAGAACAATTGCAGCCAGCTATGGAGAAAATCATGGGGATAAAAGTTTGCTGGTAAAGAACGCTAAAATTGATGGGCAGGATGGGCCTAAAATATAAATAAATTAACTGCATAGAATGCTTTGAAAACTATGAACAAACGAAGTCTAAATCCGACTGGATTCAATGTGTAATGTGTCAGTACTGGTTACATGAAACCTGTACACTTTTCAGAAATAGTTGCTCAAGATGTGGAAATATTAAAGCACTGTCCGGTTAAATATTATGATGATATTTATTTAGTTATTTTAATTTTTAAGAAAGAATGACTTTTATGATTTTGCTTGTTGAAACTTAATTAGGTATTAATATTTAATAATAAGGATTTAAAAAACACATTACTGTTGAACAAATACTTTTAGAATTTCATTGTTATAGTTTTAATTAAAATTTATCTTATTTAGCTTATCTATAATGACAATGACAATAAAAAGATTTTAAAAACTGCAAAATACTTTTCATTTTTAATAAAATAAAGACAAAAAATAGATAAATAATATTAACATAAAATACTTATATAGTATGAAGGGCATCTATCCCGCACCGTAGGCATCTATCCTTGTTAGTATTTTCAAGGTGGGGCAACTATCCATAGGGGTAGGCACCTATCCCCAAAAATGGAGGTCTACAAAAAGCTAAAATCTGCAAAATGGGTAGTTTATAGGTCCAAATAGACCAATCACAGTAAAACATAAAGGATTAAACTAGTTACATTCATAGGTATTATTTATGTAAAACCAATATTTTTTAAATTAGAAGCATATTTCAAAAAGTGGGGCATCCATCCCGGTTTTACCCTAATAGGGTACTTTTTATCCCGGAAAAATTTGATATTCTCGAGGGAAAACGAAATTATTAGTATAGATGGCGCTGTTTGTATTGGTATATGTCACATAGGCTACTTTTTATCCTTTTGTGACGCGAGCGAAGCCGCGGGTAAAAGCTAGTACAGCATAATTGGCAGGTGTCTTCGTTATCACAGTAAGGTCACCAAAAATCTCGGTGTCAGGACATTGTAGGAATGGGGTTCAGCTGTGGTGGGTTTATTGTTTACTTATAAATAGAAAATTAAAGTGTTCTGTATTATCTTCGACGTAGGTACATATAAAACATGTCCCGCTACGCAATGAGGGAGATTCTTCCGTGTCAAGATCACATCCGAGCGTTACATACATACATAGCAGCTGATCGCCCAGCTACAGCGCTTATTGTGCAATTATAATTTATGCACTTTGAATTCAAAACACCATATGGGGTTATATAAAAAAACAACTAGATATCCAAGTACCTACCTACTTAGATTAAAATAAACACATGAAACTGTTTTTGTCATACATATAAGGCTAGAGATCAAGAAATTACTTTAGATGCAATGTAATTTTAATTATACCTACCTACCTAGCTACTTATGTAATAAAACAAAACAAACACTAAGTAGGTAAATGCAGGAAGCAAGCCACTAGTTTTGTAATGCTTTTTTATCAGTTTTTCACAAAAAGTTTTCCATAAAAAGTGGTTACTGCTTATGGCAAGTTGTTTTGCTGCGGAAAATACGTAATAAATTTCTGGGCATTTTTAACCCGGTACGTACAGTGGACAGCAGGGGGCTTACTCTTGAATCCAATTCCGATCGTTCGACATTAGTATTGTGAAATTTTATACTCTTGAGTTGCATCACTAGCGCCTATTGCCTGAATATTTAATGAACTAAATGGTATTGAGTTTGGCTTTATATTCCGTACTCGTATTCTGAATACTATTTTAACAGCTATAGTTCTATAGTTTTGAGATTAAATAATTATTGAGATTTTATTGGATTTAAATTGCATTGACATTGAGATTGGTTTCAAGAATAAGCACCCTGGTCAACCTACTATTTTCTGTCTAGTTTCTTCATTACATTTCCAACTCAACAGGTTTAGATAGAAAATCGAAAATCCAATGACAGTAGGTTGATGTCCTGGCCAGTGTACAATGTACATAGCGGCTCTCCAGGTATTGTAACAGACCCCTAATGTCATTAAATTTACATTCTAGTCTAGTGTATCTCATTTTTCAGTAGATACTTCTAATAGGTATAATTTAACACTATTTTTGACAGATTAATTAATCAAAATAAAATAAAAGAATAACATTGTTTGTAATTTTGATTTATTTCAACATTATTATAACAATTTCTGCCCGCGAGTTCGTACGTGCAATCCCGTTATCTCCCGTTCCCGTAGGATTTTCAATATTTTTTTTGCCTTAAGTACCTTCTCCTAATAATAACAAATACAACAAAAAATAATAAGTGAAATCAGTCCAGTCATTCACGCGTGATGCCGTGACTAAGGGAAAAAGGGTTCATTTTTATATACCTATATAGATTTAATACTTATTTAGTGAAATACTCTAAGCTATCTATATAAATAAAAATGAATTGTCGTTCGTTAGTCTCGGTAAAACTCGAGAACGGCTGAACCGAATTGTCTAATTTTGGTCTTGAAATGTTCGTAGAAGTCAAGGTGTAGAAGGCGGGAAAAAACTTTAGACGGTACGAAGTTCAACGGGTAGTATAAAATAAATATCTTATATATAAAAGCTTTTTCTATATATTCATACTTATAAAATATTTACAATATTTTCTAAGCCTATACAATAATACATATAGTGCTAACCAGCTTCCATAATGTTATTGTTTTCACATAGTATTATTTCATTACTTTTCTACTTAGACTATCTCTTGTGCAGTGTATGTTTACAAATAAATAAATAACATCAACATTGAAAAATTTGAATTAGCTACAAAAATTAAAAATCAAATGCATTAAATCATTAGTCTCTGCCTGCCCTATATGTATGTATACTTTTAATTTTTTCATAATTATAATATTTCGATGTTTCGCTCACGCGGCTCGTATTCATTTCAGCGGAATAAAAACTTAATATTTTCTCAGTTGTTGGTGTAGCGTTGATTTTCGCAGAGTAACGTCTGATTCTATTCTATGTTATATGGGTTTATAGCTACCTACGTTCATAATACCAATTTATGAAAATAAATAGCAAAAAATGGGTCTCAAATTTAATAATAATGAATGTATTTAATAATCTATACCTTTGGAGTATAAAATGCATATTACATCTAAATAAACAGGTTCCAAAAGAAACTTATTCATTGTAATCTTAATAAGGCACAAGTGGCAACTAAATTGTAATATCAAAATTCAGCTGCGACAGCGCACGCTGCTCATGAAGAAGAGTCCCTTTGAGACTCGAAACTAGTAGAGCTTTTCTCTCGTAATTTTTTAGTTACTTTAACTCAGTTTACTACATAATATCCAGAACTAAACAACTGTAAAATGAAATGCATTACCCTTCTTATTCAGTCGGGTGATAAAATAAAAGCATTAATGGTGAGAAATGCATCTATTTGATTTTAGATACTGGTTACCAAGGGTTGGGTGCTTGCTAATTAGTCAAATTCAATATTCTTTTCGAACTGTTATCAAACGCACGTGTACTTTGACGTGTAAACTGGTGGCCGAATGCAGGTTATTAGCCTTTTCAATTATCAATTTTCAATCATTGACACTGAACCACTTCATACAAATCCTACGGCATATCACTACCGAAGTATAATGTTAGAGAATTTTCTTAATACATTTTGAAGACGAGACATTTTGCACAAAAACTTTACAAACTAATAATATTTAAGTGTGGCGCCACTATCGGTTTTGGCAACTAAGACTATGGTATAAAATCAGTACTTATATCACCCTCTACCATTCACATAATTGATGATAAGTTTTTAATTTACTATAGTTAATGAGTCACCAAGGACCTAAATATCTGTTACTTCTCTTTAGTGGAAGATTCTTCTTTTAACCTATGAAAAAGGTATTTTTTTAACCTTCCATAGGTTATTTTTAATTATTTATAAAAATATTTCACAACTGTCGAATACTCTATTAATATACTAATACCTTATTATAAATTGGACTTAGTAATTGCGGGCATGCCGACATCTGCATAGATTTTGTTCCAGAAATCTACTCTTTCCTTATCTAAATTATTTGATAGTTTCAATTCCTCGTCTAGAATTAAATATTCTTTATTTGCTGGTGAGCACGGCAGCCATTCCACGACCTCTTTTGTTGGTGTTGGATTTCTGGAAAAAATTAAAAATAATAATAAGTACAGTAAAGAAATATGGCTGAATCTAGGTATCTGAACCGTGGTCTCATAGAAACCAGCGTGACAGAGTTCATGGTTGTCTATAAATAAGGAATGTAAATATTTTAATTACTAATAATGCCTAATGTATTGAAAACACAATCACGCAACACATGTAATCAAATAAATGCCGTGATAAATTATAAAACTACTAAAATATCAGCACATCTAAATATACAAATGTAATATACCCAATAGACAAGACTTAACACTCTGTTTGATACTGCAACTGTTAATGATTTAAAACTAAAATCAGTAGATATGTACAAAGAAAGCATTAAACTTACCCAGTCTTTGCAAAATCGGCCCAAAACTTGGTCATTTGATATATGACCTTTCTCAGTTTTTCATTTTCATCGTAAATATTTCTACTGACTTCGCTATGGAAGAGATAAAATAGATCATCGGCGTGGCAGCTGCCCTTCACATTATCCAATCCGAAGACACTTTTCAAAACGTTCAACTCTGTACAATATTCAAACTTATACAAGTACACTGGAGCAAACTTTTGAAAGAAATGTATAAATCTGTGAGTTTGGTACGTGAAATTTATATCTGTTTGCAAATCTACTATCGCTTGACAGTCTTCTGGGGTCATATCTTTGTCACCAAAATAAAACTTCTTTATTCTCTGTCCTAATTCATCTAACGTTTCCTTAGACACCTTCGTGGCTATATCTCGGGGAACAAAGTATGATGGGTGCTCATTTAGGGTCTTTATTTTCTTTAAATGGTCATTAACCATCAATAATCCTTCCGCCGAGTTGTAACCAATTATCATGGGCACTTTACTTATTTTGCCTGCCAATAACAAGTCCAATGGGTCTTCAGTTAAGAACTGTTCTTGGCCCTCGAACTTTTTCTCTATAGTTGGAGTAAAGTAAATAGGTAAACCTCTGAATTTCTCGTCCAGTGTCCTTGTGTGGATAGAAAGCCTCGCTAGTTCAACAGCAGGGCATCCTCTCAGGTAACTTAGTAGTTCATTGATATCCTTTGCTTCTTTACCTAATGCTTTCGCAGCTCTAAATGCTCGTGCTACGGGCTCATGGAATATCGACCAGTAGGACAAACAATTACCACTCTGCGTTATTACTTTATCAAACAGTCCCTGCGACATTGGCGACAGCATGTGCAAAGTTGCACAGGCGGCACCAGCACTCTCTCCAAATAAAGTAATATTGTCAGGATCTCCTCCGAAAGTACTTATATTTTCTTTTATCCACCTCAAAGCTAGAACTTGGTCCTTCATACCAGCGTTACCGGGAACTTCAGGAGTGTCTAGACTCAGGAAACCTAGTACTTCTAGTCGATAGTTTATTGTGACTAAGATCACATCGTGTTGGAAGAAAAATTCTGGGCCGTAGGTTTCAGAATTACCAGATCCCGACAAGAAAGCGCCTCCGTGAATGTAGACCATCACGGGTAGTTTGGAGCTGGGTTGTAATGACTTCGTGTATACGTTCAAACTGAGGCAGTCTTCGTTTCCTTCCACGACATCTACAATGCTCATGTCGAATTGTGGGCAGACTGGACCGTGCTCGATCGCGTCACGTATACCCGTCCATGGTTTCACGGGTAATGGTGCCTGGAATTAAATAAATTATTTTTAAATTCTAAAGAGAATAATAAAGCAATTAATGGTCCAGTGCTTGTGATGATTATAGTTAGAAAGTCGGTTAAGTAAAGAACTGTGAGGTAGGTAATTTCAAATTGAAAGTTTATACCAACATACTTCACCTCTGTTCAAGTCTTTTAAATATAGGCATTACATTCAATCATTAGCCTTAAATAAGTTATGTCCCAAAGAATTATGTATTACCTTAAATCTCAACTCTCCAATGGGTGGTTGGCCGTAACGAACGCCTTTGAAGCTGTAGTAAGGGGATCCATCTAGACATTTGTTGACTACACCCTTCAATTTCCCTTGTTTCACAGTTACAATAGGGTTCTCCTGGAATTAAGACATGACAAATTATAATCAAACAGGTTCCTGTCCTATAGCCAATTTTAATCTATAATTCAATGCGAGGCATTCAGGTTGGTATTTGATTGATGTTTAAAACAATAAGTGAGTGTAGGTTAGTATGTAACATATAAGTAAAAATGCTCATGCACACAGTTCTATGCATGTTTATATCTCAATATCTACACCTAACTAAGTAAAAACTTCAATTGTTATTTTTGAATTATTCAAGGTATCAAAAATTCAAGATATTCTTGTTTTTATACATATTTTATGTTGCTATTGTTTATTGAATCGTAGTTGTGAGAAAATCCTTGGAATCAACAATAAAGAATACCTAGAATGAGAAATACAGATATAGATAGACAGACAAAAATAATGGATATCCGCCTGATAGCTAGCTAGATATGTTGATAGCTAGATAGCTTATCTATGGAACATCACCAAAATTCAATTGGACTTTGTACTTGTCTAATAATACCAAGTTGCGGATCAGTTGGTTTTATTTATAATTGGTTAATCAAAGTCCACAGTACAAGGTTGCTGTTTGCAAAATAGATAACCCTGTCCTCCATATTAAGTAGATACCAGCCTATCTGTACATGAAACTTCACGCCTTCACACCTTTTATCCCACAAGTGAATTGCAGAGGTATCATTTAGTCCCCATAATCTGCCCCATTCAATAAGAGGAGCCATTTTCATCTACCATTTTAAATTAAATGCTAATAGTGAGTTACGGTTTATAATTTTTGTAACCAAAACAAATCAACAATTAGCAGAACTTATCTGTTAAAATGACTATAGGAGTCAGGATTTGCCTCCGTATCTCCATACAAATTATACAGTTACTAGATTCTACTAGTAGCTTCGCCCACTTTACCTGTGGTATAAAATTTAGTATATGTGTTATTAGCTTCACTTTTAATTTTTTGTTGACGTTCAAAAGTACCTCTCTGATGTAATTGAAATAAATGATTTTGACTTTTGACTTTATTCCAGATCATTATCTACCCCGTGTTCCAAATTTCGTTCCAATCGTTTCAGCCATTTGGATGTGATTGAGTTACTTACATACCTACATACATACAAACACACAAACTACCAAATTTATAATATTAGTAAAATGCATAGCATATCTTGAGATAATATATCTTGTCCGCAACATTAAAAGATAAATGATTCAGCACAATATAGGCCAGAAAAAGTAGCACTTTTATATAAATAATATTAAAAAGTAGAAATATCAAATTAATTAGTTATATAACATAACATCACACCTTTCATCCCCGAACGGGTAGGCAGAGGTGCACATTATCTATGGCCCTTAATGCCACTGTACAATATAATACCCACTTTTCACTATTTATGTTATGTGTCCTACTTAACAGGGGGTGAGTGTGTGCCAATTAGAAATATATTTTAATTACAAAATCTAATATTAAAACACTACATTCTAAACTTATACTTTGAAAAGTTAATTATATAACCCAAAAAGAAAGTATACTACTAGTTAACATTCCAGCGAAAAAAAGAAAGTACTAAGTACATAAAGTCCATAAAGTTATGGATGATGTCGCAACAATAATATTTTATTTCTACTGCATAACATTTCAACATTTGAGGACATAGAAATCATTATGGTATTCTTTTATTCTCAATTTCGTGTGGTTTGTAACAAGACAATATTCTAATATTCTAGTAACATGCGAGGAATTAACAAGAAAATATTTATTTTTACCATGGCCATGTAATCACCAGAATGAAGATTGAAATCTATTTAGAAGACTGGTTATTCTTTTATTTGTAGCTGTATAACTGGCAGCAAATAAACATTTCAGTAGGTACTCAAAAAGATTCAACAAAAAAGTATGTGATATTCATAAAATTCTTGTTGTGACTTTACATGAAACAAACAGTAAGCTTTACCTACCATATTAAATTTGTTTGAGGAATTAAAACTACTTTTAAATTATTCTAACGTAATCAATGGACTAAGTTCACCACACAAGTTAATTTATTGTTTCAGATTTATAAAACTTTTTTGAGTAACACTGCCACTGTCTCGCAAGTCAAGACAGAGAATGCTCGTAATTTATGTAAATCGTTGATTATACAACTCATTGTTGATAATACAAACTGATTACAATACCTAATTTATTAAAGAATAAGGATATATTTTCAAAGAAATGTAATAGTAAACAAGGTTGTACTTTCTGTCAAACGAAGTGTCAAACTTGTTATCAATCAAGATGAAATGAAAGTTCACAAATCAAGTGCTAATTAACTGGGCCCACGTCAAAGTCAACATAATTAAATGTATCTTTTTATCACAAAACAAGTCTATTATTTACAATAAAACAAAAACTCACCTTTGAACTGTCAACAGTTGAAAAACACCTGGCACCCGGCTTTGCACGAAATATTAACCGTTCAACAGTTTTTATTATAAACATATTTGATTTCTTTTGCTAACCTCGTGAGCATGAACACAGCAAAAGTGCAAAATTATTTTATCTCCGTTCTATATATCCGCACTCAGTTAAAAATATAAGGTCCAAAGGTTAATGACTAATGAACCGAAAAAGAGAGAGACACCACAGAGAGACACACGATAAAACGATTTTATCGTTTAACATACATGTGTGCGAAAAGGATACAGATATATTTTTTCTGTTTCTGTGTCGGCGTAGCGAAATGTCACAGACAGCTCTACGTCTTGTTATCTTTCTATGTCGGGTCCAAAGTCCAGTGTTTGTACACACTTGATACCACTATTTATATCGCAAATACTATTATTAACAAGAAAACAACTACTAGATATTGAGGAGACAACAATAAGGTGTGATACGTAATATTAAGTACATTAGACATGTTACATTGTATGTTTGTAACTTATCTAAAATAATAAGTATCGGGGCATAGTGATTTATCGATACAAACAACTAAACGCACTAGGTACAGTACGTTATGTATTAGGATTAGGAGTACTTTACTGTTAGTAACGGTTGTTACTAGATAGTGCTAGATAGATACCGAACATAAAAATATGATGAAATTAATTTTTGTCTGTCAGTCTGTCTGTATGTTCCCGCATCACGCAAATCTACTGGTCCGATTACGATGAAACTTGGTATGAATATCCTACCTATTATATCCTGGACACAATACTTTTTATCTCGTAAAAGTATATACACATAGTTACTGTACCAAACGCAAATATAACGCTAATATACGCTCTCATCAAACCAACTCGTTAAGTCCTCCGCGGCATTAGCCCAATTGAGCCCCATCCGTGGTGGTCTAGAGTTAGTGTCTCTATGAGGCGAGCGCGGTATTCTTAAGATAGAAGCTCAAAATGTTTGTGAGGTCCGCTAGTAAATAATAATTACTTTTAAATAATTGAATTTGAATGCATACTTTAGCATTTTGATAGTGCATATTATAATCCGATATCCTGTGGTGCTACGTGTCCATGTGTGGCGGAATCTTTCTGTTTTTGAGAGGGAAATTCATCTAATGACTTCTTGCGCCATGTGGGGTGAGGTGACAGAGACTGTCATAGTCTTACTGATTAAGGGTTCGTAAGTACACAAAACGAATTGCTGCGATGCGATTTCGTGCGACAAGGCGTCTACCAGGCTGACCATTCCTTCGACGACCGTCGGCGTCAACCGTACTAAACGTATTTCAAATTGAAAACTATATAGGTCGTGACATGGATCGTAAAAAGAAATGTGCACTTCTGGTATTGCTTAGGAGATCCAGGATAAAGAAACAGAAGATTTTGGGAAGATATGATCTTGATGCGCGATGTTAATCTACCTACCATAAAAAACTTTTAATCCAAAGGACCAAGGGATTTACGAGCTTTCTGAGGTTAGGTGTTGAACATCATCGATTTTTCTAACTCTGGGTTAATAATGGTCATTTTAATTGGACATATCAAATAACACTTTTTGGCATACGCGAGATTCGAACCCAGCTCAGCTACTGCACCAATTGTGCAGTCGTCGGTATTTTACATATATAATATCTAAATAAATTAATCAATTGAATAAACTTTATTTAGATTTAATTATTTTAACAAAATAGTTTTAACGCCTGGAACATATTTGATAGCAACTTGCTGCGTATTGTCTGCAGTACTATGTAGGTATGGTAAAAAAATAAAAGAAATACAGAGAACACATTTATTTGTTGCTAATAAAGTAATAAATAAAACAGATCAACGTGTCTGTTTGTTTGTTACAAGTAAACTGAGCGAATGTGTCACTTTCTTAATAAAAAGTCAGACTCTCTATCATACTTGGTATGCTTCGCAAAATTTTATTTTCGAAGATAGGTAATGCTGTTCTATATTCTTAATTAGATATTTAGTAAAAAAAATATAACCACTAAGATTTAGTTCGTACAAGTAAAGCGCTAACTTAGCCCATTTAATTATACTAATACTATTAAAAAAAAAACAATCGATGAGAATTGCTAGCACTGTACAATAAAGTATATCTCTAAATATTACCGCTACGCGGCGCTAGTAGTGTTGATAAAAGCGCGCGATTCAAGTACGTATCTTGCGCGCGCCAATTTCAAATTGAAATAGGGACATTAACAACAACTTGGGTTTCATTTTATTGATTAATTTACACATTTTATTTGAATAAATATTATTATATCCATGATAAAATACCCCATCATTTGCACGACAAAAATTCACAGGGCGATTTTGATGTCGCGATATGATCGCAAAAATTCACCAATAGAAATTGCTGATTTAGTCTACCTGCCAGCTTATCAGGGCACCCACTTCACCCACCTTCAGTGTAAATAAGGATTAGCACGATTATCAGTTTTATTGTAGCCAGGAATTATTTTAGAACGAGTTTTACGAGCGGCGCGCGTTGCATTGAACAATTGTGCAAATAATTGTCAGTTTTTGCTATTATTTGTATAAGAATTATTATTTTTAACTTTGTATAATATATTGAAAACATGACACGTTTTTTGGTGCGAGTTTTTATGCGCAAACACACGCAATTTATCGAGTGCGCGCGCTTCGTACAGCGATGCGACGCTGATCGTACGCTGCTGTAACTTGGTACATACCTAGTTGAAAACATTATAGCTTTTGGAGAAATTATACTATATTTGGCGCCTACATAAAATAAATTGATTTCATTTTTACCAACTATAAGTTAGTATTAAAATAAATCACAAAGTGGTATAGTAATCGATATAAAATAAAATATTTTGGGAACGCCTCGACACTTATCTGCACCATTCAAACGCATTGACATTAAAATCTAAACATTGAAATGGTTTTGAAATATTACGAACTGCACTCCTATTTTGTTGATGAAACTTGACATCACATTAAAAAGTACTGAACGACCAATTAATTAGAAGATTAGTTATGAAAAAATAATTATTTTCTTATTAGTTTTTAGTCACAAGGTGATGTAAAATGAAAATAAATGTATGACTTATCTACTCTACACAATCCACAAGATTATGTAAGTGAAATCTGAAAGAATATGGTAAGTACCAACGTAGCAAAGTTAGGAAATTATATAAGGATAGTTATCAACAATTTGGGTATTTATTCGTTGAATAAGTAACTCCAGTTATTTACTGAGTAAAAAATAAGTACTTAAACATTTTCATTTCATCTATTAAACCAGAAACCAGACCCCTGTATACAAGACGAAAACAGAACGACTCAAAAAGAGATTCCCTCGAAACGATGCAATTTCGGTTAGCAACTAACGATTACGCATCAAACCTAGATTTCATAAAACATTAATATTCAAAGCATTTTCAAATATAATAAGCAATAAAATAATATTTGCCAAACAATACAAAAGTAATCGCACAGTGCCACAAATTGCGACCAATGTCTGGACAAAATCACAGTTCGTAATAAAAAAAAATAATATTGCAAAAAATAATGAAGCTCGCTATCTGGTAACATGTGTTCTTGAGGATTCATTTCTCACGGGTATGTCAATATTAATGCAGAACATTTTATTAAAAATCACTTGGAAACAGTGATTTCTGGCTACAAATATGCGTTGTCATTACATTTTGACGTGTAATACATTTCTTTTTATATATTAATTCTAATAAAAGTGACATGTGTTGACGACTTGTCAGCTATGTGTCAAGATAACGTCAGTTTCGTTTCATTAGATATGCATGTCTATGAATATTAGGCTATTATTGACAGTACTGATGCCCCTAGTCGTAAGGAATGCAAACAACTATCTTGTCCGCTAATATTTATTTGAATAAAACCATAAATATTTGTATTATTTACACGAAAACTATTTAATCTGACGGATAATTATGATAGAGTAAGATAGAAGATATTAAATTAAAATTATAACGATACACTATTTCATAAGAGAAATGAACTAATTTGGGAACTGAAAATCAAAAAGATCCGTCCTGTTCTTGCAAAAACGAGCAAAAATTTCGTTATTTTTCACAAAGTTTCTTCGCATTATGATTTAACCTTTTTTGTTTGGAACATGCACTCAGATTCAAAAAACGTACCCTTTTAGTCGACCGTTTAGTTTTCTATAAAGACTTGCACCGTCATTATTTACAACCCCTTCGGATAAACCCTTGACAACAAACCTTTTTAACATTTTAAAACTCCCTCCAACAATGGATGATGTATAGTTTTTTTCTAACCGGCCAGGATTATGCAACTCTTCTGTATAAATGTTTTAATATTTAAAAGATTAGCGTCATGTTATTGCGTTTAGTATAGGTAAATATTATTTTATATTGAAATGTTTTTATTTGTGAAAAAGATTGAAGATTTTAAAGTTGGTATAGCTTTGTAATTCTGACGTGAGAGCAAACATATTATATTGGTAACATGTAAAATATTTGATTTTCTATAACAAAACACTTGACGAATGAACTGATTTGATTAATTGGGTCATAAGGATGTGGGTTCTATAGGATGTATGAAGCATCAAGTACCCACAGTTTAATACCTTAAATCTGTTTTACTGATACAAAAATATGCATATCCTTTTATTGGCATCTTAGCATTCACTTTTTCTTAATTTTAAAAAGCGCTTTACTGTAACATATATTGCCTAACCCGCATACTGTTATTAATTTTATTTGGGCTACTTTCTAAAGACAAATAATAGAATGTCTATATGAAAATTCTTATGAATAATAACTGAACTTTTACTTGAATACGGTTTAATGTAATTATAAATATCGCATCCGTAAAATGTAATTATAAATAACGCATTTCAAAAATAACGTGTGTAGGTTTTAAGACGAAAAGAAGTCAATAAAGCAACAAGCATATAATGATGTAAGCGAGTGTGCGCGGGCGCGGGTTAAGTCCGCAGAATTATGCTCGGTGGCGAGCTAGTGTTTGGTGGCGCGAAGGGCGCGTGCGATGGGGTTGAATAAAGTAGGGACGGGA